AAAGCCCTATGCAAAATTTGAAGAACTTTCACCGCAGAATTTTTGATTTTTTTCAGTTTGAATATTAAAATTTATGAGTACAAAAATTTTCCTTTTGCAAATTCTATGTCATCGGACCTAGAGTGCGCGTGCGCTCAAGAAAAACCATTTCGAGCCTCCTTAAGTGTTTTGTTATATAGCAATTGAGAAATATTGAAAAGTCAGTTTACGAAATAAGAATTTTAAGCTAAATGCATGAAAACTGACCATGATTTTACAAATACATCTCACATACAGTCTTGTATTTCTCTACCAAAAAGCAAGGAGAGCAGCAACAGCATTTTTAGTCTCTTTTTTCATATTTTCCAAATCCTTTTTCTCAATAAAAGTCTGTAATTTCTCTGTAGAAACAGTGGAAAATCTCTATTGTTTCACTTCGAGCTCCATTTGTACTGAAAATTCAAGCAAAACACCTGCTCCCGCTCTGTTGTTTGTGATTGATGCAAAATATCATGCCATCAGCGATTTTCACGTTCTGATCACGTGCACTTGTTTATTTTCATGATTATTGTTACGTGCAACTTATTTCCAGACTGGGAAATAAGTAACTTATTTCCCGGTCAGGATACATTTAGATTTAACTAGTGTCACGTGGTCATCTTTCAACCAATGAGAGTGTTCGTTATATCGGAAAATTTCGTAGCTATATAACAATAATATCTCTTGTGAAAATTATCGAAAAAAGTACCAGTATTGCAGTTATAGCGGCCATGGACTGCTTCTGTCCCTTCCAGTATTTCATGAGTCTAGCTTTATTGTCTATATATAGCCAACTAATCACTAACACAGTAAACCAAAAGCATCAGGTGAAAGTAAATCCAGCGAACAATTTTGATATTAGATTCTCTGCTGATTTGCTACATGTATTGTTAAACTTACCCTAGAACTGAAATCCATTTCTTCCCATGATATATTCTTTCAAAACACCAACCAACTTAGACTTTTCGAACTTTCGAACCATTCACTGGACTTGTACTCCAACTCGACTCTAATGTTGTTCAAATTTGAACCGATAATCGATTTTTTATGTACCAAAAATTGAACTACGATATCTCTACTACATATACTACTACTTACCAAACTCAATAGGTTTTGAGATAAGACCTGTTTTTATTAGAACATCTCACTGCAAAGCTGCACGAATGCTCACCGATTTGTTTATTCGCTCCAGTCTATCCGCGCATAATTTTTAGCCCTGCTGTACGTAGATGGTGGCCACCGACTCCTTCTATGACAAATGGGAGCACTATTCTATCCCAGATCGTTTGGTGGTATTCCAACAACTAGAATATAAAATATTATTAATTTTCCTATTTGACTCATGACTCATGCGGCTCATTCGAACGTCTTTCTCGTACGAATGGTCTATTTGAAATCTAAAGCCATTTATCAAACCTCTAGGTGTATAATTTCTTAATTTAGTATCGTATTTTAATCGTTTTTCTCATATATTTCTTTGATTTTCTTGACACAACACAACACAACATAACATAACATATAAAAATATATATATGTTTAGCAATTATTCGCCAAAGGCAAAGTGAATATCGGGGAATATTTACCGAGACGCAAGTCTTCGAGCAGCGAGGTAGGTATCCTCCATATTCACTGAGCCTGAGGCGAATAATTGTTTTAGCGTATACCAACTTGTGTACAGAGTAACTGTTGTAATAAGTGTAATTTAAGCATTTGGGCTTCCTGTGGCCCCTGCAGGCCGTTGGGCCACCCCTAAGACTTTTAGGCAGCCATTGTAAGGACTTACTGTTAAAAACGAGTTAGAGATTTTTTCAAGAGCTTTCGAGAATAAAAGCCAACTATTACATGGTGTCAGAAGTAGACAAGAACTTAAAGAGGAATTAAGCTCGAATACGTGAAGGAACATGGCAGAAAATGACAACTCACACCGGATACCAGGTCCATTGGTCTTGGATGCCCAAGCGGCGGAGAATTGGAGAAAGTTCATTATGCAATTTGATATTTATCTCGTGGCTAAAGGAAAGGATGAAAAGCCAGGTAAAGTCAAGGTAAATTTGTTACTT